TTTTCACATCAAAGTACTTGTACCTGGTACTTCTGAATATAGTGAACTGAAACTTCTGTTTGAAAATAGTAGTCTGTAACCATGCTGGGTGCTTTTTACTTTGGTTTGAGTTGCCAGTTTTCCTGTGACTCAGCCCATTGAAGTTTTGGCAACTGGAGGGTGAACAAGCATGCAAGCACACACACATACACACACACACACACACGTGTTTTCTCTGAGATGTTATTAACAAAAATGAAAGGATTTATTGCAGCATTCCTGTTTGATTGGTAAACAAGATTGCTCTGGCTCTAGGCTTGAAGCCTGTCCAACTTTTTTGTTGATCTTCCAGCTTCCACTTAGGCAGTCATTTAACGTTACTTACCTTCAGTTATTGATATCTGTCATTGTATAAATGTCACTGTGCTTTTACTTCTCTTCCAAAAATACAATACACTGCTTTACATTGATTCTATTTAATCAAGTGAGATTCATGAGAACTTTGACCAGGTGCTGAAATTGCTGGTCAACTCAACAGGGTATAAACAGGTATGTCCCCTCTTGTGATGAGACTTGTAAAGTGTACGAAACCGGAGGTCCAGAAGGATTGTAAAAACCTTACAAATCCCCTCATAATGCTCCTGTGGTTGCACTGAACCTCTATGATAGTGAGGAAACCTTGGAGTGATACCCACTGTTAGACTACAAGAATCAGATGAACTTGGTGTGCTGAGACACTGCAAAAATCTGTTCTGTGATGTGACACCCGCTTCACTGATATGGCCAGACTATGCCCGACGTCTTCCCCAGCCTAGACTCATAGATTTTCTTTCCACAAAACCAGGGGACAAGGAGGGAAAATGGAGGATGTCTAGGTTTGATCCTAGACATAAGTAATGAGTCTGGAGCATGTGCATCTGCCTGTGAAGTGCTGGATTCCAGTGTTACTGCTGTTCTGTGTTGCCTGCTACATCTACTGAAAACATGCCTGGATTTTAAAAGTAGTTGCCTAGGAAAAAGCTAGTATCTTACTCTCACTATATGTAGTCGTATTAGAGTGAAAAATGTGACATTTGGAAATATGGGTAGAGAAGGGTCACTTGGTAGCAATACTGCAGAGCTTGTCTTTGTATGTCATTCTGTGATTCTATGATTAAAGCATGTTATTTCTGGGAGCTCTCTGGCAACTAGGCAGTAGCTGAAGAACTTTAGGCTTAAGCACTGAGGGAGGCAATAAGGCACCTACTTCTTTCTTCAGAAGTAGTCCCAATTGGCAGCCTCCCTCCCAGTCCCCTGGGATAACTATGAGTACAGTGGAGATGTGATCAGGGTGTTAGAGACATCACTGCACCTTAGGATAATTGAGGCCGATCATAACAAAAACAATGTGATTACCTTAGAGCTGGGCAGCTAATACACAGGAAAGAACTAGATAAACCAGTAAAACAAACCAGTACAATGTTAAAGAAAGGCACATGATGTAAAAAGAAAGAATTGCGTTAAAAATAAATCTCTCAAACTCCCATCCTCTGAAGTTTATTAAAGGAAGTTGAATTGTACTGGAGTCTGTACCCTGATCATCCAGCAGTAAATCAAATGCAAGCACCAAGGACTGAAGCTAACCATCTGGTTCACTTTACCCAGTGCTTTGCTATCCCAGGCAGTCATGTTGAACCTGCCATTTAACACACTGATCAAACATCACCTTAAAACTGAGCACAGAGCTGTTCCTCTATTTGTTCTGGGAAGAGGCTTTCCTAGAACATCACTGATCATAGAATCATAAAATCTTAGGGGCTGGAAGGGACCTTGAAAGAACAGCAGCCTTCAGCAGCAGCCTTCTAATTTCCAGTTTCCATTCCTGAGTTTGCTTGTCTTTGATCCTGAACCAAATGCAGTCTTACATTTAATCCCTTCTGTGATCTACAGTCCTCTGCAGAGACACATGGTTCTTTCTTGCAGCCCCTCTCACCTATTCTAGTGAGATTTCTGTTCTGCTTTGGTGAGGCCACATCTGGAATATTGTGTCCAGTTCTGGGCCCCTCAGTCCAAGAAGGAAGGGGAACTGCTTGAAAGACTCCAGCCCAGAGCCACAAAAATGATAAAGGGAGTGGAACATCTCCCTGATGAGGAAAGGCTGAGGGAGCTGGGTCTCTTTAGCTTGGAGAAGAGGAGACTGAGGGGCAACCTCATCAATGTTTACAAATATGTTAAGGGCAGGTGTCTGGAGGATGGTGCCAGGCTTTTTTCAGTGATGTCCAGTGATGGGACAAGGGCCAATGGGTGCAAACTGGAGCATAGGAGGTTCCACCTAAACATCAGAAAAAACTTCTTTACTGTGAGAGTGACAGAGCCCTGGAACAGGCTGCCCAGAGAGGTTGTGGAGTCTCCTTTGCTGGAGACATTCAAAACCCATCCGGACACGTTCCTGTGTGATGTGCTCTGGGTGACCCTGCTCTGGCAGGGGGGTTGGACTTGATGATCTTTCGAGGTCCCTTCCAACCCCTAAGATTCTGTGGTTCTGTGATGACTTTTTTTCAAACTATTTATAGCAATCACATTTATTTCTTATTATTACACTGAAGTGAAAATTCTCAGTTTCAGGTTTGACTGTAGTGTATTTACTGCAGCAGAAATAAATAATTCAGTTTCGCATTTCTAAAAATATAATCAGTTGATGAGTCAGAGAAGAATTTTATTTTCCTAAATGTTAAGGCTGGAAGATTGAGATTATCATGATCAGTGTATCTGACCCGTGACTCTGCCGTGTCTTAGGACTCTGCCTGGTAATTCTTGCATCACTTTGTAATTAAGCTGGGAGATGGTTCATACAAGACTGAATAATCGGTCCCAATTCTTGCAATTTTCTTCATGTTATTCCACACAACATAAACAAAAGGTACACCCTGCAGACAAGTCTGTGTCTAGTGATTCATCATTTTAATTAAAAAATTAAGACAATTAACATTTGCTGATGGGCTAATTTCTGATAACTCAGTGCACATTTTTAGAAAATTATACATAACAGTGAACCATTATATGGGGGTGTGTATATATATACATTTATTTAAGGCAATGAAACATATTTCTATTTATGGGAATCCAACTCTTACCAAGAATCTGTATCAGCCATGTGAAATGTGAAAACAGAAAAAGAAGCAGCTGGGATGAAATGAAAAAGCATAAACTAATCAAACTCTAAGGCTGCAATAAAAGCTGCCATGAAGAAGAAGCTGAAAACCGAAAATGAACACCATGTGGAGTAAAAGATCAATATTTTATTGACTGGAAAACAGGCTGCTATGTACTTGTTGGTCAGTCATTACCCATATTGATTTTATGCCACTGCAGTTCATCTCTGGTTTAGCTATGCACACATATTCTGATATTTATTTATTTATTTTTCATTTTTTAATCTAAAGTAATTGTTATCTTCAGTATGAATAAAGCCCACTCAAGTCAGCCAAATAATTCTCTGCACTTAAGGTCAGAGCCTAAAGGAGAATCTATGGCTTAAATTATTTTCAGTGAGGGTGGTGAAGCACTGGAACAGGTTGCCCAGGGAGGTTGTGGATGCCCTCTCTGGAGGTGCTCAAGGGCAGGTTGGACAAGGCTTTGTGCAGCCTGGTCTAATGCAAGGTGTCCCTGCCCTGGCAGGGGGATTAGAACTAGATGATCTTCTATGTGTCTTCCAGCCCAAACCATTCTAGGATTCTATGATTCTATGATTAAGTACGTGTGAGATGGGGACTGAATTTCCCAACCAGCTGGTACAGACACTGTTACTTGAATCAGGCCACTGTAACATACCCTATGGAAGAAGGGAAGTGCTTGTAACTCAGCTCTAGATGACCTTTAATAAGGGACACTTGAGTGTTAAAGCTCAACAAGCAGATATAGCCTTCTCAAAGCCAGGTGCCTAGAAACTAATACCTTATACTACAAGCAGGGACTGCCTAGCTTGTAATGATAACATTGCAAATTTCTGATATAATATTGGCAAATGCTTGTGATGTGGCAAAATGAATTGGGTCTGGTTCTGAAGAGCTTTTAGCCTGCTATAGACAAGCAGGCATTTACAAGAAAAGGGGTAGACTGTGAGTCAAAGACTAGCAGGGTGGAAATGGTAAGGCCATTAACAGTGCTTTGATTGCTGGCAAATAGACTTTGAGGGGAGGAGAAACTCAAGGTTAAGAGGACAAGTAGGCTCTAGTGTCTACTAGTAAAAACATATATATTTTACAAGTATATTTGAAGGTCTAGTGAATCTTAAGGCATGCTAGCTATAGGGAAGTGTACATCAGCCCTGTCCAATCTTAGGCAATGCTCACCTCTTATAGCAGCTCGAATATTTATTATTTATGTTTATTATTTAAATAAGTATTTATTTATGTTGTAAAGCAGTTATGCCTGAAAAGTGAGGTCCAGTAAACCAATTATGGGAAAAGACCTGTTGCTTGGTTTTTTGGATGACTAAAGACTGTGTTTCCAAGGAGCAATCTCAGTAAGGAGAGGAAAATGACAATTTTTTTCCCTTTATCTGGTCCTGGAATGGGTTTCTTTTATTTGGTGGCCCTCTATGAAAAAGTGCCCCTTCCTTCCACTTTCTGCCTGTTTTGTTAGTAGTTCGTTTGCCTGGAGTATTTACAAGTTTTCATTGATGTTATGATCCAATAGAAAAATGCACTTGTACAGCTTTCCACAGCAAGGTCTGTCCCTGTGAAGCAGTGCTAGTGCTTCATCATTAGTCATATGTCACACAGATATTTCACAATCCTCCTTGCTTCATGGGAGATGAAATATAAATTTTTAAGCTTCTAACAGCAGAGTGCAGTATGTTACCAGAAAAAAACATGCTGTAGTTAGATTGAATATTTAATAGCAATATTTTCTGCATTATTTTCTTAACCAGTATGGGGCTGCTTATTTTTTATTTATTTATTTATTTTGATAAGCAGTTAAGAACTATTATAAAATGAAAGCGCTTTTGGAAAGTTGCTTAGATGACTAAATATATGTTATTTTATATGATATTTCTTACTGAAGCTTAATGAAGTAGATGTTACAGATGGAGAGTAATGCAGCTGTAGAGCTCTACACAGAACTAGGAAGCAGAGCCACATTCCTGACAAAGGACACCATCCTGCTCAGTGAGGAATCCCTGGCCCACCAACGAGGCAGAGCATTTCATGCAGTTAAAGCATTCCCCGTGCCACTGGCGCTCTTCAAATGAGATAAATTTAGCACCTCCAAGAGCTGAAAGAGATCGTGAGAAAGAAGATGTGAATCCAGTATTTCAGGAAAGGGGTCAGAAATGCAACAGTTTGTTTTCTGGTCTGTGGTCAGGGTGCCATTCACATAGCAAACAAACCAACAAAAAATCCATATTCTGAAATATCTTTTGTTGGCTGACTTGAAAAAAAAATATTAAAATTAACTGCAGTGAGAAATAATTCAAGCAAAGCCACAAGTCACTCCTTTGTTTTCACGACCCGTTATGAACTCTGAACAGAATGGGTTTATCACAATGTCCATTCAGGTTTGCTGATCTTCCCAACAAACTGTCATGAAAATTATTTGCAATGGGTTGATACATACAGTTTGTGTGCAACATTTAGTGAAATCTAATTCTTTACACCTGAGTTTCTTCAAGATGGAGTCTTTTGGAAATTAGCAGATCATGGAGTTCCTAACACAAAGAGTGTGGAAGAAAATATCAGGTTTTTGGAAGGGTTGGATTGAGGGGTTTTGTGGTTTTGTTTGCTTGTTCAGGTTTTTTTGTTGGTTGGTTTTGGTTTGGGGTTTTTTTGTGTGTTTTGGGTTTTTGAGTGTGTTTTGTTTCTTTTTGTTTGGTTTTGGGTTTTTGTGTGTGTACAAATTTGAGTTTCTTTGTGGTCTTGTTTTGGTTTTATTTTTTGCTTGTTTGTTTTGTTGTGGGTTTGTTGCTGGGTTTTTTTTTAAATCATGCCCATTTGATTAGGTATTGATCATTTTCTTTGGACACTTACATGTGCAGCAGACACCTGTAACAATCAAGAGATACTTGTCAACAGTTGAGTTCACATATAACAGAATGACAATGCAGAGCACTAGCTAATGCTCTCAGAAAACTTCAGCTTTCATAGACTAGTGACCTACATGTCTAATTAGGAATCATCTAAGTACACAAAGATGCATGCAATACAGCTTTGTTGCACTTGGCAAACTTCCTACTTGGACAGGTGTGCCTTTCCAGCGGGCAGTTAATTCCTGTTCAGTTTGATCACATTTGCATTTGAAAACAAGGCCAAAGAAATTACTTACACCAGGGACTTGTGTGTACTGTCCTGGAAAGGGCCAAAAAGTGCCTTTCTTATATTCTTAAGGATGAATTTTAGTGCAGAAAACACTAAATAAAATAATAGAGGAACTCCTTTTGGCACATGAAACAAATCCTCAGCCATTGGGGAACACGTGTGATCAGTATGTCCTAGCAAGGTAGTTTACATGTGGTGGACCTTCAGTAATTAACCCCTTCAGTCTTTCATTATGATGGGACTATTTTTAGTGCTTTTTTCTAAAGTAAAGGACTGCTTTGGGAGGAGAATGATGATTCATCAGTGTCTAGTTGTCTTTATGACTTTATGAGACTCACCTGTAATAGGGTTCTTGCAAGCAGCACACCTCTTAGCATAGGATTTGCTGAAACAGTCTACACAGTATGGATAATCATCTTTGGAAATAAACCTTTGTCCAGTCAGCAGGGTTTTACACCCAGCACACACAAAGCATTCTTTATGCCAAGGCTGGTCATGGTAGGTCACTCCCCCAGAAGTGATTACCTAACAAACGAGGACAGAGCAATGTTAGAGGTTTGCAGATAAACACTAAATAACTATAGGAGTTAATAGGAGTTATAAGTTATTTGTTGAAGGAAAAAAAAAAAAAAAAAAAGTAATTTTTCCTTCCAGAGCAATACAGGTACTAAATATAAGTTAAATTCTGGCATAAAAAGCAGCTTAAAACATTTCCCTAGAGAACAGTATGTTTTCATCAGCTAGAAACAATTTTAAAACATGAACAATTGAGGGAGGAATTTAAGTATAATCAGGCTTAGATTAGTGTTAGCTAGAGGGGACAGCAGATACTGTCACAGTTGTCTTTGTGTCCAATGCCTGAAGGAAGATTCTACTCTTATTCTTATTTCACCAGACACTTGACATGATCCATCCCCTTCCCCCACGAGCAATATCACCTCATTAGCGCTTTTCTTCCACTCTATGTTTAATTACCTTTTTGCAAGAGTAGCAATGGTGAGCAAAGTGCTTCTCAAAACAGGGTACACAGTAGTTCTCCTTATCTTTGGTGATCAGTGGTTGTGTTCCCAAAGGCCGCCGGCAATTCTGGCAAACAAAACAAGATTCGTGCCAGGAACTTCCCTTAAATTCCATTTTACGGGAACCTGCAAAAAGCAAGAAATCTCCTCAGATACAGTCTTGTAACTTAAGTTTCAAATGTTGGGAATACTCTTGTTTTTAATCTTCTGTCTCAGTATTGGATTATTCAAGAAAGCACTTATCCTCAGTTTAATAGTTTCACAGAATCATGGGATCGTCAGGTTGGAGAGGACCTCTCACATCACCGAGTCCAACCATCAACACAAAAAACAACCAACCAAACAAAACCCAAAACAAACCCCAAAACAAAACAAAGAAAACCAACCACATACACTTCACCAAAAAGCACCCTCAAAAGGACACCACAACCTCGCCACTAGAGCCTGCCCTGAAATTCCTCATCTACATGTTTCTTGAATACCTCCAAGGATGATGGCTCAACCACCACCCTGGACAGGCTGTTCCAGTGCCTGACCACTCTTTCAGTACAGAAATTCTTCCTAATATCCAATATGAACCTTCCCTGCCACAACTTCAGGCCATTTCCTCTGGTCCTGTCATTATTTACTTGGGAGAAGAGGCCAACACTCACCTCCCTACAACCTCCTTTCAGGTAGTTGTAGAGGACAATGGAGTCTCCCCTCAGCCTCCTCTTCTCCAAACTGACATTCCCATTTCCTTCCACTGCTCCTCATTTTTAAGTATTTATTTGTTCAAGTATTTAATTGACATTTCAAGAACACGTTCAGCACCGTATGCTCACCTGGCAGGAGATATGCTAAATTCCCTAAACTGTGATTTTGAATATCTTACATGAATCCTTTAGAGTCCTTATATGAATATTTTAGGGTTACTTCTCTGTCATTCACTTTGGTTGCTCAGAGTTTCTCTCAGGCCAGCCAGCTCAGTTCAGGTACACAACATTTCTATCAATCAAAGTTTATTCGCTGCATGTTTAGTGCATCTACTAATGACCAGTCTTTTGTCTTCCTTAAACTAAGGCTCCTTCACTTATAAATCTACTATTTATTTTATTCAGCTTAATCTGGCAATATTGTTAAAAGTAAATCTCTTTTCTGTGCCAAAGCACACTGCCTCTTCTCATAGTTCATGAATTCCATCCTAGATCAACCATTATTTTTATCATGGTTAAATAGATACTTTTGATACGGTGCAAGGACAGAAATTTGTGCAATTAAACATCTGCCAGAGGAGTTTCAGAGCTCTTAGTTCTGTGAACAGGTGCCCTGTGCACCTTAATGTGGATGTGAAAGTCTAAGATATGCTCATATACCTGAGAATTTTGTTTTCAAGAGACTTTTCACTGTAACTTCCTCCCCTGCTGGTAGCATTAGGCTGGTGCCAGGTGCTTTACCATCCCTTCCACCCAAAGAAAAGAACTGCTGTAGTAACAGCACAATCCCACAATACCTGTTTCCTGGACTCTGGGGCTGGTGGAGAGAGAAACTACTGGTTGTATTTAAACATAAAAGGTTTGCAGCTTCCTCCCAGTGATCAGAAGGCTGACTTCACTGGATTTTCTTACTGGGCCTTTTCAACACAGAGCTAGTAAGATGATGGCAAAAGTTAATGGTTTAGAAACTGATTGGCATTCCCATGCCACTTCTGTTCTGTGTTTGCACTACTACTCCTACCCTCAGCCCTTGCTTCAAGAATTTAGTCTCCTAGACTCCGGAGCAAAATCTGCAAGGTGGATATACACCAGGGGATAACAATGCAAACTTGAGTATATTCTGGTACTATTTTCATCACATCTAATAGGGTGACTATTAGACAAGATTTTTCTTAAACTATGCAAAGTTTAAGCAGTATATTAATCTGAAACTGAACACAACTACACTGCTACAATATTTACTTCCACTAATACAGCTGTAGTGAAAATACACTAATACCTGTAATGAAAAGGAAATAAACTGTAAAAATTCAAATAAATGTTACAGGTTGAACCACAACATCAGTACCCTAATATTTATACTAAGACAACAATTCTGCACAGCTCAGACCTTATTGTTTGGCAGTAAGATCTATTGAAAAGTAAAATTCTTGTGTCACTGCCAAATGTACTGATGTGCCTGGTCAAAGGTTCCCAAAATAGTAGTTGTGAGGCTACAGCAGATAGTTTGAAGCTGGTATTTGGAGTTATGCATGTGATCTGTAAAAGGTTCAAGCACTGAGGGTAGGTCCCTGGTCCAAAGTTAATTACCCACTTTCCTAAGCAAGCTGCTTCATTTTGTCACATCTGGTGCTGTGGCTTCTCTTGGAGGCCTCTGAAGAGGCATCTTTTAGGCAGCCTCTGTGCTGTATGAGCTTTACTGGTGTGACAGCAGTGAAAGGCCTAGAGGACGTCCTGATGTCAGGATGTCTCAGCTTTTGGTGATCAAAAGCTGAGAAGCAGTTTAGTGGAAAGTGTGGAATTCTCAAGGTTACTAATAGCAAGAAGTAAACCTATTGTAAACATAAATGTACTTGCATTCTGTTTAGTAAAAATCCTGCCCTCTCTTCACTCCCAGGAGGGTACTACACGTAAAGGAGAGGTAGTCACCCGAAAGCTCTTCTAAAAGTCAAGGAACATGTAGCTCAGTTATTCAAGGATATGGTTATAAATAAAAATGCAGTTCCATTTTTCACTGAAGGGTCCCTGTTGTCTTACCAGGCATAATGGTCTTCTGGCAGTGAAAACACTTAGATGAATACTCATCAGAGTAGCACTCAGTACACAGCAAGAGCTCGTCCTTGGCAGCAAACGGTTTCTCCACCAGTGAGCGACTGCATTTGGCACACTTGAAGCACCTCTCATGCCAGTGGCGGCCTTTGTAGGCCAAATCCTTGGAGAAAGTAAGTCCACATTAATGGAGACATCTCTTCACAGTGTTTTTATCACCCAGCTCTTCCCAGAAATAAAGTGAAAAATGGAGAGCATTGCAATAGTGACTTGAAGAGATGACAGGTGGCATCTGATGGGAAATGTGATCAGATGAGATATAAGTGCTTAAAGTTACTGCACCAGGATATTTTGAGGACCTCCTGCAGGGCCTATTAGGAGCTGCTTTGGGACATACAATAGTCCTTTATGTAACATCAGAGGTATGCTTTTATTGGAATAATCATTGTATATTTTACAGTTGCCCTTCGAGGAGAAGTGACTGGTCAACATTTTTAAGGTGCACAGGCCACCTGACAAGGAGTGCATTCTCTACAGACTTATAAATTAACTTTGTGTATTCTTTAACATTACTATTTTTTTCTTCCAACACTGAAGATCGTGTTATTGCAGAAAACAAGCAATTAATATCTCACTGAGAACAAAATAATTCTTACAAATGTTATTTAAAAATTGTTGCTTTTGTTTACACCTAACATAACCCCTCCTAAAAGCTTGGCAGAAAAATATTTGTTTAAGACTCAGCAGGCTTAGAGGATGGAAAAGCTAATAGTATATGTATGAGACCTCCACTAAGTATTCAAAAAAATAGCAAACAGCAGATTTTATTTTCCCAAGGTTAAAAAAACAAGGGAAAAATGTACTACCATCCCCCCTGCCCCCCCTCTGCTCCTCACCTTAAAAATAAACAAAACCCTTCCAGGTCTCCTTTATAAGTAAGAAACACAAAAAGGACATAAATCCAGTGTAATTTTTCTCCTTTGCCAGATCCCCACCCTTTAAAGTGCTAAAAATGAAATACAGCCCATTCTTCATTTCAGGAGGTGCTGAGTCCTTCTTGCTTTCATTTGCTTTAGTTTGTACTCTGAGTCTTTTAGAAAATAGGCTATGACTCCAGAGCAGCCTGGGACACCGACTGGATATGATGGAGGTGAGGAGAGCCAAGCTCTAGCACTTTGGCAGAGGTAGGACAACCAGCAGTAGATCTCTAGCTGAGTCTGGCCTGTTGTACTCCTTGCTACTTCTGCTTTATTCTTCCAATTTTTTCCTTCTGTTCAGTCCAAAGACATAACTTCTAGTTAATGATCTCTGATATTGGCTGTCCTGCCACTTATTGAAATTTAAATTCTTAAAGTGTAATTAATGAGCTCAGAGCACATGTTGTCCAGGTGACTCTGACTGGACCTCCACATATAAGTTTGCTGTTGAAAAATGCCAATCAGAGTTAGAGAAGAACCTTCATCCAAATCAACAGTTTCTTTGGAAGACTCCTTTACAGTACTGAGCTGGGCTCAGACAATATGTTTTAAAAACCATGAAGTGATTTGGCTGGGGAGCTCCCCTGAGAGCCTTATTTCAATAACTTTCTGACCTTTTATTTCAAAAGAATGTAGGCAAAGTGAGCACAGGGAGAAGGTGAGCACTGCATAATGAGCTTGGCAAAACAAAAGCATTTTGACAGGTTTCACCTGAACTTAAAAATAACAGTCAAATGTACAGGTTGTATATTGAAGTATGGGGTACAGTAAACCCTGTCAAATACCACAGACAACTCATATTGTTAATAATATTTAACAAAACGGAGAGGTGAAAGGAAAGCCAGTCCTGGAAACTAACATGTCATCTGTGAGATGAGTGAGGTAAGCTTGGAATTAAGTTAAAATTATAATACCCGTCATTTCCAAAAGACAGAGGGAATAATACACAAATTATAAATATGTTCTCTTTTCAGCCTGACATCAGCATGTCAACACGTACAGTAAAGGCAATTACACAACACTCAATATTTTTTGTTTCAAAGGATACCTCTGAGAAATTCCAAAGTGCTGTTCATCCTAATCCACTGAATTACACCAGCAGCCTCACTGTCCCTCAAGCACTGTGCAGTCTCTGCAGCCAGAGTCACTGGAGTTGAAGGATGGAGTCTAGCTGTGGTCCACACATCTCATATGTTTGAGGTAGATGTATGTGCAGATTTCCTGATGTTTGGCCCTGGAGCTTTCCTATTCTGGGAAAATAACACTGTTTCTTTCTGCTGTGTGTGGATGTCCTGGGGCTCTACAACATCTCAGGGATATGCAGAGGGCTAGATACAGAATCTGCCATTAAAGGAATGGGACTTGTGTGTAACTGAGCAGAGAAAAAGAAGTGGAAGCTAAATCTTTACCTTGGAATCACACTCAATAGGTTGCTTGCATTCTTCACAGGAGTTGGCAAACAGGCTGTCATAGCATGCAACACAATAAGCATTTTCTTCTCTTAATGCATATTTCCTTCCCCGAAGGGACTGCAGGCAGTACTGACAGTCTGTGTGACTGCTGGTCATTCTGGCAGGGTTCTCCACGTGATCTGGAAGGATGGAAAAATCACATAATTCAGTAGATTACTGTTTTCTGGCTCAAATGGTAAGCAATGCTGTGAAAGCTAGGTCAAGCATTTTTTGGTCATTTGCAGTGCCCTGGATTTCTAATGCTGGGCTGTTCCACAGTAAAACGGTAGCCTTAACTACATATATTGAGTACTGTGTTACCTACATAATGGGAGCAAGAAAACTCCTTCAGCTTAATCTAGTGGTACTTACAATGATAGGTCAGACACTGGAAAATGAAATTGTCTTCACATTCTTTGTGTACAACTACTGGCATTATGAGCATTACGTACTGGATTGCTAGGCATGGTTTATCCAGAAATCAGGGAATGGAGAGACAAGCAATAGTTCAAAAACTAAGCCAACTGCAGAGTTAAAAGGCCAAAGAGAAGTGGTGAACACTTTGAAATGTGCTTCTGGCTTTCTCTTACATTTCCTGTCTTTCTGCTCATCCTTTCCTTTTCAAAGTACCCCCACCTCTACCTGACCCAACAGAAGGAAGACCAGGGACTCCAAGGTATGTGGCTGTTTTTTCAATAATCCCAGTTGTGCTGCTGACATTTAATGCCAACGTAAGGTGCCACAAATACCCCTGGATAGCAAAAGAGCAAAATGGAAAGAGAAACAAACAAAATCATAACTTTAACGAAATCATAAGTCAAAGCAAGTTTCCCTTGTTGTCATTGGAAAAGATTGTCTTTTCTTACGTGTTTCTGTATTGCCAGATTCCATATTGGCAGTGCCAAAATACTATGAGATAGATGGTGTTTCTGTGCCAGACAACTGCAGGAAATACCACAATTCTATTGAGAACCAGTTGTACAAGTTTCCCATCCTTCAGTTTTCCAGGATAACAAGGCTTGGATAAGCATACAAACCTCAACTGCTTATAGTTCTACGATGTTGAACATTTTAAGGATTGTGGAGATGAAGACTTATTTCAGTCTTTTGGTTACTGGCTGAATCAACAGCACTTCACTAAAATTGGGTCTTGATTCCTGGGAATGAAGGAGGAACAATCCAGAATTCCTAGTGAAGCAAATCCAGAAATATCTGCTAGACTGATTGGATTACACCCTCCAATAAGCTCAGTGAGTACCTCTGCAGTCAGCACCAGTAATCACCAATTTTAGAGGATCTGAGAACAACCAGAGAAGGTCTCCCAAAATATTTACATATCAGTGAGTTGGGCAGCTGAAATCTTTGCACTTTGAACAACAGTGCAAATTATTCTATCTTAACAAGATGCAAAGCCTGAGAGCAAGGAAGAGAAGCATATGAAGAATAAGATTTGATAGAGTAGTTGCCACCAGAGAGTTTACATGTAGTTAATTTGGAATTACTCATACTTGCTTAATGCACTCACTGCCTGTCTTATACCCATGGTTCCATTTCAAAAAAGGCATTTAATCTTTCTTCTGGGTTTCTGTGTTGTGAGTTGTAATTCAAAATGATTGAACTATGAGAAAGAACAATTACTGAAGGTTTCCACTGGCACCAGCGCCTAAGGTCAGGCATTTAGTATATATTTCTGGAGGAGCAATAGCAAGACAGTGAAAAGGGGGCAGGAAGAGAGGAGATAATGCTTATCTCAGACCAAGAGTGACGACTTGTTTGTTTGGCACAAGCTACGGAAAACTTGTTCTTCCTGTAAATTGAAAATCTTTTGAGTCAAATTGATTTATTGTATTTCTGACTGCCCTAAATCTCAGTGCTAGCCAAGACAGGGTGTAGTAAGGAAGTCAAATTATCTGTAACTCAGATCAGTGGGAAACAAGCTTGCTTAAAAATATTACAGATGTGTTTTATGTGATATCCTTGGAATAACAGCATAACAGAGCTAGAATCTGGACTTCCATTTTCTTAAGATCAAAATGAGGTTTGAATGTGAAACGAATGCACCCATGTGTATGAGAGAGTTTTCATCCATCAGCCTGTACATTGACACAACGTGACATGTAAAACCCAGACACAGAGCAGTAGTTCAGTGCACGATCACTAAAGAGTCATCACCAAAATCAAGGTTAAGGTTTAGCTCATTTTCTTCTATATTGGGGAAACAGTATAAATTGGTGGCTTGGGAGACAATAAAAGAATGTTTGTGGTTAACTGGGCTCCATATTTTGGGTCACAGGACACTTCAAAGGAATTTTCATTTCTTTTTTTTTGTGGTGGGAATTACTTATGAGCTGCTCCTGAGGATAACCCTGAGAAAACTACCTTCCTGATCTCCTTCCAGCTGAATTAGTACCTCAGCTTCCTAAGACACTTGTCTCAACCAAAAATCCTAACAAGGCATGCATGGAAAACTGATGTTACTTATAGTGCTTTTTGTTGCACAAAACTTGCCAACAAATAGCTTCAGGTATCTGAAGATACAGCTGGTTTTTTTCATTCTCATGGACGGCGATAGGTTTTTAAGCTGTCAAAAACTCTACATAACAATTTTATTTAAAAAGTGGTTCTCTTGATCATTTCTGCCCCCCGCTCAGCTCCCCCTGGAAGCCAAAGTATTCCAGGAAGCCCAGGTTCTGTGCACATAAAAATCTGTTATTGTAATGACTCAGAACTTCTGAATTTGCAATTTAATTATCCTCCCCAAACCCTATATGGATATGGCAGCCCAGTGGTGTTGCTCCTGTTTTAGAGATGACTTGAGAACATTAAGAGTATCCCCAAGGCCAGAGTGGGGGTGTCCTTGAGCTGCTCCTTTGGTAAAATGTTCAAATCACCCCAGGCTTTGCTTCAGAGAAAGTTTTCAGAGTTTGACCATGATTATATGAGACCATATTTGGGAATGAAGCAGCAATCGTATGAACAAGAGTGATGATTTTTTAAAATCTCTTGGCAAAGTTCTGGATAACCTTTGTGAACTGCTTTTGCTGTTAGACAATGCGACAAAAGAAGTGAATTTCATGTCCCCCAGCACCACTTACCCTTGCTCCAATAAGTAAGTAATGGTCTGAGCACCACGTAGTTAAGTAGAATGTTTTTCTTGTGCTTTGATCCTAATCTCTAGAGAAATATGTTTACTTTAAGTTTGCTGGAAGCTAGACTTCATGTTTTGAAGGTCACTTAAGAAATCTCTGGAGGTCTGATGCTATTCACTCTCATGGAATGAAACGCTGACTCCAGCATTCC